AAAAAATCTTGAACATTTTCTGGTTGGCCAAGAGTCTCGTCCTTGAGCTGTCAATGGAATGGCACCCCGACTCGTAAATATGACTAAAGAGTCTCGGCTTGGTGCTGGACAATTCACCGTAGTTTCTGACCCCACTTAGAACAAGTAGTAACAAACATGCGCGTTCCACTCGCAGACATGCAAAAAGCACATCACCGCTGTGCTGTACTAGTGACGAACTGGCACGTTCTGTTGACGTGACAACCCTCACTAGATGACTGTGTCGGGTGGTGGCGGGTTTAACGACACATTTCTCTATCTACGCGATCCAACCCCCCAAAAAAAACCTCTGTCATGGACACCTTTCCTCTGCGGCGGAGATTGCGCTGCAGCCCTGAATGCCTCCTTTGTAACACCGTCACGTGGCCACTCTGACAATGCCCTGTCCTGTGCACACGTGGGTCACCCACGGCGCTGTCGGGTCGCGTTGGGTTTCTCCAGGGCATTCGGGACGCCTCTACGCGACTCTCTCCACCGACAGACCGCTCCTTGTCGCTGGGACCCAATCTCCCAGACGTCACTGGACCTGACAACAACCTGGCTACCAACCCACCCCCACCCCCCACCCCATACCCCCACCGTGCTGCACGAGTCCAAATCGCCGCGCTAAAATTTCACGAAGGAACTCTCCCGGCGATCGCCTCGGCACCGTCGATCGACAGGTCGCGGAGCGCCCGCGGTCTTTCCGGGATCGCGGCCGGCGCTCCTCGCGGGCGCTCGTTAAAGTCAGATCACACGATCGGCGCCCTCGCGGGACGCGGGCGGGCGTCGGCCGGTCACGCCGTGCGCGTTCACGCGGAGCGGTCGCCGACGGGCGAGAGAGCGGCGAACGATTGGCCGCCAAAGGACGGGCTGCGCCCCAGACGATGACCACCGCGGAGATGCAACCCACGCCATCGTAGCGCGCCAACCGCTTTCACTGCTGTGCCGCCCTACCTCCCGGGGCAAGCCACCAGCGAACGGCTCCTCCTCTGGAGAGCGCGCACGGGAAGGGAGTTTTCGGAACATTTCCGCGGCGCTCCGCCAAGCCTCGCCGCTGCCTTCACAGCGCTGGGTTACAGGCCACGGCCATGTGCAGCTTAGCCACACAAACAGACAAAGATCCCCCGTATAGCCTTAATAGATTGTCGGGTCAAGTGCTATTAAGGAGCACCTATGAGACAAGGCCTGCATGGCACTCGAGGGGGTGGGTGGCCAGCACCACGCCCGGCCGCCTTTGTCTCCCCAGTGGCGATGTTTACTACACCCCCCCCCCCCCCACCCCGGTACTCATTTGAGGCTGAGTCGACCAAGGGGAGGCCCAGGACCGGTTCAAATATTCGCCGCTGTTATTGGTCGTCAGCGGGAATCGTACTCGGGTCGACTGGGTTCGTACCGCAGTGCGCTAACCACTGCGCCACCGCTCCCCGCCACCACCACCACCACCGCCACCACCACCACCGCTCCCCGCCACCACCACAGAGGCGCGGTGGTTACGAGCCACTAGAGACTCTCAGGCCTCCTAGAATGTTGTTTTATTATTATTCCAAAAGAGCAGCGCTGTCTCTGGAAAAATAAAATCCATTTAGGGGCGACTCAATTAGCCGCACGGGTCATTGATTGGTCGCCCAATTAGGCGCGGAGACCGATAGAGAGCGTGGGGCGAGCAACACTGCCGCCAGCGAGTGACCCGTGGTGGTAGCGGCCACGCCGGGCCAAGAGCTGAATTCCTGCATGGTTGGTCCCAGGGGTCAACTCGACCCATCATCTACAAGGGGTCGATAAAATGAGGTTTTGCAGCAAGGCACACTCGTCGCGCTCGGGTTATACTTGGCCCCGCTAGTCATTATTACCACCACCACCACTATCATCACTCACCACCACCACAATCACCAATCACTCACTACCATCATCACCCACCACCACTCACCACTATCATCACTCAGACATCACTCACCACCTGCCAATCTGTGATTCTTCACTCACCACTACTCTCTAAGCACCACACGTCTTACTCACCACCCAGCACACACCACCGATCCCTCACCACCATCTACTTGCCACTCACCACCAGCCACCATCCACACAGCTGCATCTGCACCACCACCATCCATCGCTCACTACTCACCCCGCGCCTCCCTCTCCCCCTTCTGCACCCCCCCCCCCTTGCCATCATCACATCTCGCTGTCCCTCTGGGGAGGTTTAGCTATGGTTCGGGGTTACAGGGCATCATCCATCTGTCATAAAATCATCTGAGGGAGCGCCAGGGAGACAGGGGATCACGATGATGCTGCTGATGATGATGATAATGATGACCATGCTCCTGATCAGTATACTGCTGCTGATGATAATGCTGCTGATAATGCATATGAGGGTACTGCTGCTACTGATGACACTTCTGCTGCTAATTGATGATAATGCTGCTACTGATTATAATGAATTAGGGTACTGCTGCTACTGATGACACTGCTGCTGCTACTGATGATAATGAATGAGGGTACTGCTGCTACTACTACTGATGATACTGATAATGAATGAGGGTACTTCTGCTACTGATGATAATGCTGCTGCTGACGATGCTGATAATGAATGAGAATACTGCTGCTGCTACTGATGATACTGCTACTGATGTTGCTGCTGATAATGATGCCACTACTGATGATGATAATGTTTAACACGTAGGCTTTCGCGACCAAATGCATCCATAATACAGTTTTTTTTGGGTTAGATCGCGTAAATATAAATGTGTCGTTAAACCCGCCACCACCCGACACAGCCAATTAGTAATGTTTGTCACGTAAATATAACGTGCCAATTCGTTACTAGTACAGCACATCGGTGGTGTATCAACACACCTCCTGTTGTTTCAACAGAAGCTGTGCATCGGATTAATTGCACTTGTGGCAAATGCTATGTTGGGGCAGACAGGACGAATGATCAGCACGAGACTAAAAGAACACCAAATAAATATTAAATACTCCTAAATACAACTCTCAGCAGTAGCAAAACACGCGTGCCAACAAGGACACCCAATTGATTTTGATAATGTTGAAGTTCCGTGAAAAACTAGCTGCTACTGGCCAAGACTAATGAGAGAATCTATCGAAATTGAGAGGGATAAAAAATAATTTTAACCGTTCGGATAGCGACAGACGTAGTGCTGCTTGGAAGCGAATCATCAAGCAACACATTGTTGAAATGCAAGCCTATACAGGTCACCATACATCAATGAGGATTACCTGTGGGCAGACAAGAACAGCTATTGCTATTTTATTGCACGCAAACGATAGGCGATATAATAACAATGTACATGCATCGTGTGTACGTTGATTGCCTTATTCATGCATTCATTAACCCCCCCCCCCCCCCTTCATACGTGAAGGGCTCAGAGGTGATGTCATCACATCTATCCCCCCAATTACGGAACGAAACAGGAGGATGTATCCACAAATCTGGCTGTCGCCTGATGAAGCTAGTTGTAATCACTGTTGAAACGTCGTACTTAGTTTGTAAATGTTGTGGCTCGGCTCTCCAACACACCGGTTAGTGCTGTACTAGTGACGAATTGTCCACGTTCTGTTGACGTGACAACCCTTACTAGTTGGCTGTGTTGGGTGGTGGCGGGTTTAACGACGCATTTATATATTTACGCGATCTAACCCAAAACAACCTCTATCATGATGATGATACTGCTGCTGCTGCTACTGATGATGATGATACTGATCATGTTGCTACTGACCATGATGATCATACTTCCTGCTGATTGATGATCACGATTAGGATAATGCTGATGATGATGAATGAATGACGGGAGAAATAAGGCTACAATCACCATGGTCATCATCATCATCGTCATCAGCCGTGGTCTATACACTGCTGGATGAAGGCGTCTCTCTCCGTTGACGTCACTGAAGGGCGAGTTAAAGTGCGCAGGAGAGGGTGAGGGAGCGAGGGAGGCGGTCACGAGCGACAGGAATGGACGACGTGATGGTGACCACTTTGATGGTTGTTGTTGCGTAAGCCGAGCTCACAATGACCATCTCCTCCCATGAATGTTGGGGGGGGGGTGGGTAGGGTGTATGGGGGGAGGAGGGGGGGGGGGTCCGTGACATTCACTCACAAATCACAAGGCACAGGTAACAGCCCCTCTCCGTCGATCCACTGCTGGATGAGGACCTCCCCACACCGGGCGGTTCGCGAGAGCATAGAAGCACAGTACAGCACAACCACGGATCCGGGTTTTTGTTTTAGCACTGGCCTCTGTCGCCCACCACGTGACTCCACAGCCTATAGCACCTGTTCATTGTGCACGGTGGTCGTCCCCTATAGCACGGCTGGATACGTACGGTGCGAATGAAGTTCAACAAACGTGCATACGTTCGCTCGCACAAGTCGAGGGGACCCCGGTGGGGTGCAGAGTAGCCACGCTCACAACAACGAGCGGAGCGCCGGGTGGATAAAACCGCAGCGAGGTGGCACAGTGCATGGGGAGCGCAGGTGACGGTGGTGGTGCATCTGAGTCGGTCAACCCCACGGCACCTGCGTCTCTGTGCCGTGATGCTGCTGCCAGCAAGGGAAGAGCCTTCGACGACTTAACATGGCCTCAAGCTGCACTTAGCCTGGCACGAGCGCCGTGGTGATGTCAGTCTGCGCTTAGGTGGCGAACGGCGGCCGCTGTTGACGCTGGAGGGGTGGGGAGGGGGACGAGGCAGGGGGTAGGGGTTGGGGATGGGGGGTGGGGGCTGGAGGAGGGGCCGGGTGGGATGGGGGGTAGGGGTTGGGGATGGGGGAGGGGCCGGGGGGTGGGGGGTAGGGGCCGGGGGGTGGGGGGTAGGGGCTGGGGGAGGGGCCGGGGGATGGGGGGTGGGGGAGGGGCCGGGTGGGATGCGGGGTGGGGGATGGGGGGGTTGGGGCTGGGGGAGGGACCGGAGGGTGGGGGCTGGGGGAGGGGCCGGGTGGGATGCGGGGTGGGGGCACTCACCTGCTCGCGGCTCACGTGTATGGGCTGCTGCAGCATGAGCCAGGAGACGCTCTCGTAAAGCGGCGGCGTGGTGAGGGAGCCCGCGTAGCTCCACAGCGACAGCGACGGCGGCAACAGCAGCGCCGGGTTCACGCCACGCACGTCCACGGCGGAGCCCTGCGGAGCCGCCACGACCGTGGCGGTGGTGGTGGTGGGGAGGTTGATGGTGGTGGTGGTGGGGAGGTTGATGGTGGTGGTGGTGGTGGGGAGGTTGATGGTGGGGAGGTTGATGGTGGTGGGGAGGTTGATGGTGGTGGTGGTGGTGGGGAGGGTGATGATGGTGGTGGTGGTGGGGAGGTTGATGGTGGGGAGGTTGATGGTGGTGGGGAGGTTGATGGTGGTGATGGTGGTGGGGAGGTTGATGATGGTGGTGGTGGTGGGGAGGTTGATGGTGGGGAGGTTGATGGTGGTGGGGAGGTTGATGGTGGTGGTGGTGGTGGGGAGGTTGATGATGGTGGTGGTGGTGGGGAGGTTGATGATGGTGGTGGTGGGGAGGTTGATGGTGGTGGTGGTGGGGAGGTTGATGGTGGTGGGGAGGTTGATGGTGGTGGTGGTGGGGAGGTTGATGATGGTGGTGGTGGGGAGGTTGATGGTGGTGGTGGGGAGGTTGATGGTGGTGGTGGTGGGGAGGTTGATGGTGGTGGTGGTGGGGAGGTTGATGGTGGTGGTGGGGAGGTTGATGGTGGTGGTGGTGGGGAGGTTGATGGTGGTGGTGGTGGTGGGGAGGTTGATGGTGGTGGTGGTGGGGAGGTTGATGGTGGTGGGGAGGTTGATGGTGGTGGTGGTGGGGAGGTTGATGATGGTGGTGGTGGGGAGGTTGATGGTGGTGGTGGTGGTGGGGAGGTTGATGGTGGTGGTGGTGGGGAGGTTGATGGTGGTGGTGGTGGTGGGGAGGTTGATGGTGGTGGTGGTGGTAGTGGGGAGGTTGATGGTGGTGGTGAGGAGGTTGATGGTGGTGGTGGTGGGGAGGTTGATGGTGGTGGTGGTGGGGAGGTTGGTGGTGGTGGTGGGGAGGTTGGTTGTGGTGATGGTGGTGGGATGATGATGGCAATGTTGATGATATTGGTGATTGCAGTGATGATGGTGAAAAATAAGATGATAGAGCGAGTCAGGTGAATGTGCTTTGAACTTATTTCGCACCGCACATAGCCAACCGTGCTCATCGGACGTGCAGGGGAAGAACAACAACCTAAACGCAAAAAGCACTAATACAGAAATTAGTTTTCAATCTAGATGATGATGATGATTGCAAAGTGCATGTCTCCAGAGGCTGTCTAATATCGGAAGGAAGAGGCGTTCCAGACGGCCCCAGATGTGCATCTGAAAGCGCCGCGCGTGTGTGCATGTGTGTGTTTGCGTGTGTGCGTGTGTGTGTTTGCGTGCGTGTGTTTGCGTGCGTGTGTTTGCGTGCGTGTGTTTGCGTGCGTGTGTTTGCGTGCGTGTGTTTGCGTGCGTGTGTGCGTGCGTGTGTGTGCGTGTGTGTGCGTGTGTGTGTGCGCTTGTGTGTGTGTGCGTGTGTGTGCGTGCGTGTGTGTGCGTGCGTGCGTGCGTGTGCGCGTCTGTGTGCGCGTGTGCGCGTGCTATGTCCCGTGGAGAGCGGTGGCGCAGTGGTTAGCGAGGCTGTGCCACGAACCCGGCGAGTTCCATTCCCGCTCGCGACCATCGGCTGGCAAATATCTGAACCGATCCTGGGCCGCCTTCTCAAGGCCGACTCAGCCTTCAATGAGTACTCGGCGGCGGTGTGTAAAAACAAGAGCACTGGGGAGACAAAGGCGGCCGGGCGTGGCGCTGACCACCCCACTTCTCCACCGCGTGCCGTGGCCGGCCTTCGTACGCCGCTGTTACTCGTGAACGGCACTTGACCCCCAAGAGTCTGCTGAAGGCCGTGCGGCTGAATCATTGTCTTTGTCCCGTAGGCGCACGTGACGCGGTCTCACCTTGGTGGTGATTCTCGGCAGGAGATCGGTGATCTTCTTCAACTCCCTGTGCTCCTCGCTCACCTGGTCGCACCACAACGCCGGCCAGCGTGAACAACCACTCACTCGGCACCGTCGTCACCACGGACGGACTATGCTCTCTCCACTGCTGGACTAAGGCATCCACCCATCTGGCGCCATCCGTCTCTCACAGCCTGGCTGAATCAGAAACTTGATTGAGAATTAGAAACTTGATTGAGAATCTGTTATTTATTCCGGAGAAATCCGATGAGCTATGAAGCTCTTCCCCCACCCCCCCCCTGCGCAGAAAGGGGGGGGGGGGGTGGGGGGAGCAGCAGCGTCTCATTTCACAGCGGGGGGACGTAGGGAGGGATAGACAGAGGCAGTGTCGTGGTAACTTCATCATCGCATCGGGGGCTGCGGCAAGCGCTCACACGTGGCAGGACCCCCCCAACATTTGATCTGGACTTGCACGGTCGCACCCTGAGGCTATTCTAGATACGCGCGGCTCCCCTTGCCTGACGACATCGCCGTTGCGCTCACGGTCTCGAACATTTAGCGCTGTTGGGGGGGAGGGGGGGGCAACTCGCGGCTTTGGCTACCGAGCGGGGGGGGGGGGTGGTGAGGGGGGGCGAGGCACCCCCCCTCACCACCCCCTGCTCCCACGCTCGCTACGATCCTGCAGGGGTCGGCAAGCTGCGGCTCCGGAGCGGCGTGCGGTGGCTCTTGAAGGACTGACGCCTCGTGGCCGTTCCTGATTAAGGAGCCACCACGGCGCGTTGAGGATCTTCAAGTGTTGAGTTTCGCTGATCGAATTCGAAGACAACGCCTCTTAAATTTTGATTTAAAGCTTTTTGTGACTGCAGTAATTCATATTCTTAGCTCTTTCGGTAAAGTCACGTTGAAGGGAAACAATAAAATAATAAAGTATATATAAAACAATAAAAAAATTCTCACACACCTGATGACGACCGTTTGTGTTACGGTCGAAACGTCGTGAGAAATTTTTATTGTTTTATATATATTTTATTATTGTATTGTTTCCCTTCAACGTGACTTTACCGAAAGAGCTAAGAGGACAACGTCTCTTCTTGTTGTTTTGGTTGCCGACCCCTGTGCTACTGGATACGGAGCTGGGGGAGGGCGGCTTTTTGGGGGGGGGGGGGGAGAGCATGCAGAGGTCACGTGATTGACGAGAGGCTCGTGTAGCCTCTGCACGTCTCGCATCACGGGGGGGGGGAGGGGGAGGGGGGCACGCGGTGGGGGCCGCACCTCCAGGAAGACGCCGACCACCGCCAGGCCATCGGGGGCCACAGCCGCCTCCTGGAAGCTCGCGTAGCGGTCCGCACTCCAGTGCACCAGGTGCAGCTGCGGGTGGGCGGGGCGGGGGGTGCGGGGCGGGGTGGGCGGGGCGGGGTGGGCGGGGAGGGGTGTGCGGGGCGGGGTGTGCGGGGAGGGGTGTGCGGGGCGGGGTAATTGTAAGTACAAGCGTGTATGTGTGTAAGTGCAAATGTGTGTTGGTGTGTGTTATGGGTGTTTACAGGTGTGTTTGTAAAGACAGGTGTGTGTGTGTGGGAATGCAGGTGTGTGTGTCAGGACAGGTGTGTGTGTGTCAGGACAGGTGTGTGTGTGTGTGTGTAGGAATGCAGGTGTGTGTCAGGACAGGTGTGTGTGTGTGTGGGAATGCAGGTGTGTGTGTGTGTCAGGACAGGTGTGTGTGCGTGGGAATGCAGGTGTGTGTGTCAGGACAGGTGTGTGTGTGTGTGTTTGAATGCAGGTGTGTGTGTGTGTGTGTAAGGACAGGTGTGCGTGTGGGAATTCAGGTGTGTGGAGGTATGGGTGGGTGCGTGTGTGTGCGACACAAAGAAAGAACAATTATTGATCTCTTGGGTGTTAGAGACGACACAGGCAACAAAAGAGAACAGAAGGGCACAGGAGGGAGCAGCTCAGCCAGGCACCACTCCCGACCACCTTTGTCTCCCCCGTACAAATGTATACACACCCAACCAGGTACTCCGCTCAGGCCGAGTTGTGTGTGTGTGTGTGGTCGACTCGGCCTGAAATGGTGCGCTGTACACACATCAATGCTGGGGAAACAAAGGCGGTCGGGCGTGATTCTGGCCGCCCATCCCGTCGTGTGCTATCCGGGCCTTCATTTGCGCTACTCGCTAATAGCCCTTGCCCCAACAGAAGGCTACACGGGGGATCTTTGCCTTTGTTTGTTAGTGGGGGGCCAGCAAGAGGTGCGATGGAAATTTTAATCATCTCATTGATCCTCGGAAAAAAAAAGATGAAGACGATTTAAAAAAAAAACGATCACCGTCTCTGATGAAGACAATGGGATAAATCCCCGAGTGATTCGCGTGCGTGAACTCGTTAGGACGAGGATGATGGAAAAGAGACTTAATGAGGCCCACGGGTTGTGTGTTGGTAAAGGGGGGGAGGGGAGGGCCAGGGAGGGTAGGTAGCACTTTTCCAAGGTGTACCCAAATACCAAGGTGTACCCAGGTATCAATGTGTACCCAGGTGTACCAAGGTGTACCCAGGTGTACCAAGGTATACCCAGGAATCAATGTGTACCCAGGTGTACCAAGGTGTACCCAGGTGTACCAAGGTTTACCCAGGAACCAATGTGTACCCAGGTGTACCAAGGTGTACCCAGGTGTACCAAGGTGTACCCAGGAATCAATGTGTACCCAGGTATCAATGTGTACCCAGGTGTACCAAGGTGTACCCAAATACCAAGGTGTACCCAGGTATCAATGTGTACCCAGGCATCAATGTGTACCCAGGTGTACCAAGGTGTACCCAGGTATCAATGTGTACCCAGGTGTGCCAAGGTGTTTGTGTTACCCACAAACCGTCACGACCACGTGCATTCATCGTAAATAAAAATGCGGGGGGGGGATGTATCCTGTTCTTATTCGCGATTTTGCTGCTGTTGGTGTCGCGTCGTTACGAGACGGAAACAGCCATCCGGAAGTCTCAGCGCGTCAATGCGACTTCTGTTGTTCGGGGAACGGTCCGCAGAAGCGGATTCCACAGAGCCGCCCCTTGAGTGCCCCTCAATGGGACCTCTGGTGGGTCCCGCACAAGGACAGAATGTCAGCGCGTTTCAGCTCGCTCTGCCACCGGGAGCCACGGTGATCATTGCACGGCGAGTCAAAGCGATGTCCGTCTTTGTTGTCAGAGCTGGAACGTTTTTGTTTTGTTTAGCCAGATCAAGCGGAGAACCAAGATGAGACCGTGGCGGCGGCAGCGGCGGTGGTGTTGTTGGTACGCTTGAAGTCACTCGAGGACCGGCACTTAATACAAACCCACGGTTGCTGAGCGCCGGTGCCCAGAGAGGTAAAAACAAAAACGCTAAGCGGCCAGCAACGCACAGCACAGGCAGTGGCTGTCACGCAGATTCGAGCCGCAGGATCTCAGTTGGTGCTGGCTCAGTTGGTGCTGGCTCAGTTGGTGCTGGCTCAGTTGGTGCTGGCTCAGTTGGTGCTGGCTCAGCGGTGCTGGCTCAGTTGGTGCTGGCTCAGCGGTGCTGGCTCAGTTGGTGCTGGCTCAGCGGTGCTGGCTCAGTTGGTGCTGGCTCAGTTGGTGCTGGCTCAGTTTGTGCTGGCTCAGTTGGTGCTGGCTCAGTTGGTGCTGGCTCAGCGGTGCTGGCTCAGCGGTGCTGGCTCAGTTGGTGCTGGCTCAGTTGTTGCTGGCTCAGTTGGTGCTGGCTCAGTTGGTGCTGGCTCAGTTGGTGCTGATGTCCGAGCCGCACTCCGCTGGCCACGTCAGTGCTGGCGTGCAGTGCGAACTAAACTAAAAACTCTTTTTATTTTATTTTACCAGCTAAGAAGGCCCCACTGAGCTAGACGGCATAGCTCAGAAGCGACGTGGATATCACAAACAGTAGGTCAACAAAGAGGCGACTTGTCGCGTGACAATTTATCGCAGCCAAATACTCCAAACGCATGGGGTCGATTCTAACTGAGTAGGTGAACAAACCGGAGGACCCACAGAGACACAGACACACAAACTAAAAGTACACAGCAGGCGTCAGGGTTGGGTTCGAACCCACGACCTGCTGTATACCAGGAAAGGTTGTTAACATCTCCCAGCCACCGTGGCGCCGAGCGTGAGACCGGCGAGACCGCTGCGAGTGTCTGAGTGCACTGGGGGCGCGGATGCGCTCAGGTTAATGAAATATGCAGGAGGCAAATGAGCCGCAATTATTAAGTGGCATCGGTAGGTAATGATGATCATGGTGGTATTAACAATATCAGCTTGTCAGGCTGCGCCCCCACCGCCGCTGCACAGCGTTTGCTCACTCTCGTACGGAGGGGGGGGAGAGAGAGGGGAGGGGACGACGACTCCGAGCTACCAGGGGGAGGAACCACATTTAGCCACGGTGGCTAGGAGATGTTAACTACCTCGCCTGGTATACAGGAGGTCGTGGGTTCGATCCAGATCCTGACGCCTGCTGCTGTATATTTGGAGTCTGCGTGTCTCTCTCGCGTGGATTTTTATCCGGGTCCTCTGGTTTTTCTCTCTGCATTTAGAATCAACGTCACGCGTTTCGAGAATGTGGCTTCTATACATTTCCACGTGATGATAAGCCACTTCGTTGAGACAACATTTGTCGCCGGGTCACTCCTGAAAAAGGGCTATGTAGCTCAGCTGGCCTTTCCTGGTCAAATAAAACGTACTTTTTTTTGTTTAATAGTTTATAGTGGGAAGCCAACACCAATGAATTCCCAAGTTCTGCGGTTCTCTATATATGAAGGTGTTATCGGTCAATTAATGAGCGTTTTTCATGATGGTTAGGAAAACCAGAGCGCCTGGAGCAAAACTCACGCATGCGAGTTGGGCAACACTCCTGCCATGCAGATGCAACAGGTGGAGTCCACCTCTTGCTTTGCTGCCATCTCCTGGTGAGCCAGGGTATGGTACCTCCTCGACGCCCACGGGAAGGGAGTTTATTCACCGTGTGTGTGTGCGCGATCCACCAATCGTCGCTGTCTCCACAGTGCTTGCTTGCAGGCCACGTGCATAGCCACCACTGAGGGCCATGTGTGTTTTAACACTTGGGTGCAGCATGTGGATGTGCATGTCTATTTGGCGTGCTTTAACAATGGGGTGCGCTGTGTAAATGTGCATACTCGAGCTTTTGCACTCAATCACTTGGGTGCACTCTGAGACAAAGTACTCGAGGACCTATTGATTCTTGGGTACACCGTGTAAATGTGCATACTCGAGCTATTGCACTTCGCTACTTGGGGTGCACTTTGAGAAAGTGCCTGGGGGTGGGGGGTGGTGGTGGAGAAGTGGAGTCTGGTACCTCTGCGGGATACGTTTTCCCCTTCACCGTGTGCTCCGAGCCGACATGGTCGTGCGAGCCCCAGTGCATGTGCAGCTGGCGGAGTCGGTAAGGTCCATGGAGACCCCCCCCTTCTATGACTGTTGAATAGTGAGAGGGGACACACACACACACACAAAGACATCGACAAAGATCCCACGTACAGCCTTAACAGAGTGTTGGGGCAAGTGCTGTTAGCGAGTAGCACCTGTGAAGGCCGGCGCGGAACACGAGGGGGCGGGTGTGCCGGCACCACGCCCGACCGCCTTTGTCTCCCCAGTAACGATGTTTTTACACACCGCACCAGGTACTCATTTGAGGCCAAGTCGACCTAGGGGAGGACCAGGACACGTTCAGATAATCGTCACCGATGTTGGGACCATTGAGCGGGAATCGAACTCGGGTGGCCAGGTTCGTAGCGCAACGCACTAATCACTACACTGCCGCTCCCCTCACCGGGAGGGAGGGTGAGGGGAGCGGTATTATTAGTATTATTAGTATTATTGTTGTTATTATTTTTATTATTTTATCTCCATTCTACGTGACTTTACCGAAAGAACCCAGAAGATGAATCCCTGCAGTCACGAAAGCTTCAAATCGAAAAAAAGCTCTGCTTGGTTCGTCTCTCCACAGGTCTCCAGTGGGGCCACGGGGGACGGGAAGTCACGACAACAACGAAGCAAACAGACGACACAAAACAACACGGCTGGGATGCACGGACGTTGTCTGGATGGGCAAGCGCCACTCGGCTAGCCCCCATCCTCGCGTTATCTGTGCGAGACGCATTCAGCCGCTTCGCCCCGCGCCGACCACCGTGGTGAAGTATGGTCAACAACAACAACAACAAATATCCGTGAGCGGCAAAGGCGACTTTGGCTGCTGCGATGTGGCCAGGAGAGATGGCAGCGCAACCGCCCGGGGGGGGGTTGACGAACCTGGCCGTGCGGACTTTGGAGCGGTGGATTTTGCGTACGCGGTTGGAGTCTCTCCGGAAACGCGACGTGTATTTATAGACGTCGGTTTAAGTGGAATCGTTGCATTTCGATTTAAAGCTTTCGTGACTGCAGGGATTCATCTTCTGGGTTCTTTTGGTCAAGTCACGTAGAATGGAAATAAAATAAAAAATAAAAGGTAATAAAATAAAATTCTCACGACGTTTCGGCCACAACACAAGTAGCCTTCCTCAGGTGAAGAGACAGGACTGTCGGGACGACAGCGCTTCAGTGAACACTGCCAAGCTTGGCAGCGTCTTTTAAGCTGGGTGGGAGGAGCAGAGCGCCTTGACAAAGGAGTTTACATATCAACAGAAGAATTTAGCATTGAAGTAGCTGTGTTAATGTGTTGGATTAGCAGGATGTAAAAGTCAGAAATTAGCATGTAACTGGGAGACAGCATAATGTTAGTGTGAGGGATTAGCATGTAACTATGTCGGAAAAAGTGGCGGTTTCTTTTTTTCTTTTCAACGTTAGCACCACGGAAAGCGACGAGCTTTGTTCAGACGGACGAGTCCATCTATGCTCGGAACGGAGGAGGGGGGAGAGAGAGAAACAGCCATGATGCGCTGCTCTGTCCTGTGTTGCGTTACAACTATGCTATAAACTAGACTACTATACATTACAATGTTATACCTTTCAATCTAAACTACATTGTATAATATCGTATACACAGCCAAATGTAAGCTCTAACATTATGCATTTTATTGATATGTCTCCAACTAAACTTTTTTCTACATTGCACGACTATACACCGTAATATATACACTACCATAGACAAACACACCCTTGAATTATACAATGCATTACTTTACACTACCCTATACTTTAGACTGTAAAATATTAGACTTGTAATATTACACTATGTATTATTCTACCAACCCTACTGTATACCACACTGCTGTATATTCACTATACGATTACGGTACTATATATTGCCTTATGAATTATGTAAAACATTACACTGTTATACTATTTATTATTATACAACATGCTATAAACCATACCATTGACCGTCGTGTGAAAGGTACTAAGAGGCAGTGCCAGCGAATGGACTGCGGTCTGAAAGTCACCGTAAATAACAATCAATCAAGAACCGGTTTAAAACGTCTTTCCAATGGTTACAGTAGAATTTTTATTTCATTATGTTTTATTTTTATCATTTTATTTCCATTCCACGTGACTTTTTCTTAGGTTTGTTGAATTCTCGTCTCTCATCTTTTTGCTGTATTTACCTCCGTGCAGTTTGGCGCTCTCTACGTGTTGCGTTGATGTCGCCCCATATGCTTCCTCGCTATTTGTTTTTTACACCTGATGAAGATCGCTTGTGTTGCGGTCGAAACGTCGTGATTGATCGATTTTAATATAATTTTATGGTATTTCTACATACGTGACTTAACCGAAAAAAACCAATGAGTAATTTATGCAGTCACGAAAGCTTTTAATTCTTTATTTACCGAAGGAACCAAGAAGATGAAATCGTTGCGTGGCCCTCCCGTCGGAAATATCTGAACCACGGTGGATTTTGTCCGAGCCGGATGGGAGAGGTGAGAGAGAGGAGAGACAGGAGAGACAGGAGAGCGAGATCGCATTTCACTTACAACATCCGAGGAGTTTACATTCCACGCCCTGCTCCGTGCACTCCCGAGTTACTGACCGTGTTTGTTTTGTAAAAGCCACCACCACAAAAGGCAAAGATCCCCCGTATAGCCTAAACAGACTGCTGTGGCAAGTGCTGTTAGCGAGTAGCATCTACGAAGGCCGCCACCGAACTTGAAGGGGTGGGCAGCCAGAAGCACGCCAGGCCGTCTATGTCGCCCCAGTGCCGATGTTCACACGTTGCACTAGGCACTAATTTTAAGGCCGAGTCGACCTAAGGGAGGCACAGGACCGGTTCAAATATTCGCCACTCAATTTGGCCGTGAGCGGGAATCGAACTCGCGACCACCACACCCCACCACCGCCACCACACCCCACCACCAGCACACCACCAGCACACCACCACCACCACACCACCACCACACCACCACCACACCCATTCTCATAGGAGGGAGTGAGACGCGGGACGAGAGTGTGCACAGATGACAACAGCGTCTGTCTGTGTGTGTGTGCAGATATCCATTCGTGTACGTGGAATGAATGCACGGGTATAAGGTGTGAGTATGTGTATAGGTGCGGGGAACGGTAGCGTAGTGGTCAGCGGACTGCGCTACGAACCCGCCGGCCCCAAGTTCCATACCAGCTCATGGCCAACAACAGTGGCGAATATTTTAACCGGCTGTGGGCTTTCCCCTAGGTAGACTCGGCCTTAAATGAGTACCTCGTGCGGTGTGCAAACATCAGCACTGCGGAGACAAAGGCGGCCGGGCGTGGTGGCAGCCACCCAGCCTCTCGCGTGCCGTGCAAGCCTCAATAGGGGGGGGGGTATTAATCTTTGTATGTCTGCGTGTGTTTACGCGACAACCCCACTCTTTGGAGATGATTTCCCACTCGTGACGTCAATGTTCCCCAAGGGGATCGTTAGCGACCTCGTGTGTCCCCTCCTGCACCCCCGTGGAGACCCCTGGCATCCCCGCACTGGGTCACCTTCATCTTCATAGCTCCCCCTTCGCTAACCCCTTGGGGGTCGGGGGGGGGCTACCAGATGTCTTTGGGGGCGTCTTTGCCGTAGGTCCCTGCATCACAGGTTGGTGCACAGTTGACAATTAAGGCATTAATTTGCCGTCGGTAATTAGGTCAGTAAAGTCATAGGAACGTGGAATTGCCGGCAGAGGTTTGGGAATCGCTCTTAAGCGACGCTGCTGCTGAAGATCGTGATGATCATCAGCTCCGGCACTGCTGCTGATAACCATAGTGCTGCTGCGTATGCTGCTGCTGCTACGAAGCTTCCATGTGACTCTGACGCTGCTGCTGCTGATGATGATGATGATGACCACGCTTAATGCTACCACCCATACTGCCACAGCAGTACAGCCACGCCTCGTGACCGTTCTGCTGCTACTGCTGATGGTGATCACACTGCTGACGATGATACCGCTGATAATGCTGATGCTGCTTATGATGATGAGACTGATGTTCATGATGACGATGATGACCGTGATGAGAGATGATGATGATGCAGTTGTTGATGCCGCTGATGCTGCTGCTGATGATGACGCTGCTGTCGACGACGATGACGGTGATGAGACGGATGTTGCCGCTGGCACCGTACCGCACGCGCCCTTGTGGCTGGAGTCGTGGAAGGAGAGCATGAAGGAGGAGCCGGTGTTCGACAGCTGGCGGGACGCCCTCGGGCTGTAGCGCAGGCGCAGGGGGTCGACGGAGGGGTCGCGCTCCACCGAGTCCGGGTCGATGTCGATGGGGGACTGCCGGGGCCCCTTCGCCACGGGGTACTCGCGGGCCCAGCACGAGGGCCCTGGGGAAATGGGGGAGGGGTCAGGCAACGTGTGGGGCTCGCATTGTGCAACGTCAGGCACGGCAACACCGCCCCCCCCCCACACCCCCCCATGCATGTCTCTCCCCTTAACGTCGTTCCGCAAAAACGTCGCCGCTTCGTGGTTGACACCGCCACAGGATTTGCGTCGTCGTCGTCCCCCGCCCCCACCGCTCTCGCGTCGCTCACAGCATCGGCCGCCCTTTGTCGTCGTCCGTCGCCTCTCGGCACTTGGCCCTCCACCACCGCCCTACCCCGGACCCGAACCGCTCTGCGTGGCGCATCAACTGAACGCTACCCCATGCAAAGGCGCGCCGAGCTGCCGAGTAGCTCTCCTGCAGACAAGAGACCCGGCTACCACAAATGACGGCTCGACGAAATGGGCTTATCTCGCGGAAACATTAACAGCGGCCAAGCAGCGTTACACACCAGTGACGTCGATTCTAAATGTGGAGGGAAAGACTGGAGGATCCGGAGGAAGAATCCACGCGACCACGTGGGGAGTGAGAGAGGGAGAGAGAGAGACACCACAAACTCCAAATATACAGCAGGGGTCGGGATCGAACCCACGAACGCCTGCATACTCTAGAGTACAATACAGTATTCGTGTACAGTATTTTGGCGATTCTATAGTGTACCGTGTCTTATTGTACCCTGTATAATTTGTGCTCAAGTTTTACTGCTGTACACGAGTGTTGAGTGCAGTGCTCTTAGTGATTAAACGTAACGTCGCGGGTGCGTCCAGGATGAAGGAGCGCGCGTTAACGCAGCGCGTCGCCGTTCAAGCTCCGCTGTCTCCGTTTTGCCGTCGCGGGGAGAAAACAAACAAAAATCGCTTCGATTGACGTCGCTTCGATGTTCCCCGTCGCGCCTTTCTTTCAGGAACGCTATCCCCAACGTAAACCAGGTGGGAGGGGGTGTATTACCACATTGCAATTAATATATTTCTTTATTTGTATACCTATACGGTACTGTGTTTGGCGCAATTCATGCAAGTTGTGGGTGGGGTCAGGTCGCCGCTGCAGAATCTGTCGCTAGCGCAGAGCGTCGCGCGGACGGGCGGGAAGGCAGACGGTTAACACGCGCTTAGCAAACGAATTGTCCGAGCTCTGCGGTCCTGTCACGGGAACGTTTGGGTCAACTCCTGTACCATCGCCCCTTCCGTCCGGGAGCCTGCCACGGCGGGGCCACGGTGCAGGGCACCGGTCTGTGTCGCGCTCTGCGATATCCTCGCAGCGGCAGAAGGCGGCTTTTGGCTCGGCCATCGAAGAAAGACGGGGGTCGCCGGCGTCGCGAGCGGCGCTTTCAGATGCGCTCCGGCGGCCGTCTGGAACGCTCTTGCTTCCTTTCCCATATTAGGAAGCCACTGGAGCTGTGCACTTTGAAATCATCTGGATTGAAAACTCATTTCTGCAGGGTCATCATGTGTTAGTTTGTCTCCTTCCCCCCACCCCCCACTGCACCTCCTGGCTACGTGTGGTGCGAAACGAGTTCATCGTACATACACACTGGACTCGGGATCCAGAGGGCGCCCGTTCGAGTCTATCTCCCGGCGCGGCATTTTCTTGAATCGCCCCGCCCCCCCCCCCCCCCCACTAACCCCGCCCCCCACGTCGCCTCCATCCACCCAGCAGCAGTACGAACGGGATCGCCACGGGTAGTCGATCGGCAGCGTGGTGCGGCAAAACGTGGGCACTCCCGCCCGCTTCTAAGACACCTGCCCAGCATGGAAGAGTAGGCCAAGACACCCGAGATACCCTCTTGTGAGCGTGGCAAACGGCGACGGTCCACGCCCCATTTGCCCTCGCCAGCGCGGAGAGCGGCGAGGTTAACCTTGGTGATATTAAATTATCATTTGACCGCAACCTGCCGGAAGGCCATGAGTGGTGCCCCGGGCAGCCCCCGCCCTCCTTTGTGACCCCAGCGAGAGCGGCGCGAATGAAGTCGTCAAAGCGACGACACGTCCTCTCCCTCTATCCCTAATCCGCGTGCGCTGTGCGTCTGTCAACTTGATCCTAGCGCAAACGCCCAACGCTGATGATTACTTAATAATAATAAACAACACGACACCGCACGGACAAACCTCCCCGTGCAGTCTTAACTGGCTGTCGGGGCAGGCGCGCACAGGCACAAAGCAAGCACGTGGCTATTTTAAGCCACTGTGTGGTTATCTATATATATAAAAGGGAAATTTGTGAATGTGTGCGTCTGTTCGAAATGTTTAGCGTACTAGCCGACATGCAACAAACTTGAAATTTGGCATGTGGGTAGTTTCCAGACTGTACACGATGCAAAAAATAAAAAAATAGACTTTTGTATTTGGGGGGGGGGGGGGCGCAATAATGGATATATTTTGCACGGCAAGTGAGCGGTGAAGTCACCCGCATGCGGCAGCGTCACGCAGTGTGCCTGCTGACGTCACGCAGTGTGCCTGCTGACGTCATGCAGTGTGCCTGCTGACGTCACGCATCCCCCCACCCTCCGCGTAGGCCGTGTATTAATCCAAGACAAGAATCCAAGTCCCGGGCGAAGCCGGGTAGTGAAGCTCGTTTTAAAAATATTGAAAAATGTGATACTCCGACTGATGTTCCTGTTGTTGTGGAGTGACTCGTGCAGCCAGCTATGGCTCTAGGGTTTGGTGTTACATGTTGTTTATGTCGTTTATTGTTAAAAATTCGGTCACAGTCCCTATGATCACTGTTACATTGCATTTATGGCTTTATTTTGGTGATTTCGAAAAGTTTTTTGGTTTGGCCATGTTTTGGTTTATTGTAGTACGGAGTTAGACTGATGGCCTTAATCTTAGTTGCCTTGTGGTTGTTCTTGTTGTTTGACTTGCATCCCACTGGGATTTTTTACACACAGCGTTGGTGTACGGTGCTATTTCAGGAATATTTTGATGTTTTTTTCCTGGATTTTCTGTTTGCACAGTAACATAGTCACTTTAAGATGTTTTCTTGTTCATGTTTTTGGTTTGTTGCGGTTGCACCCGATTCAAGAGCCGAATGGCTCACAGGGCTATACCAAATAAATGGAACTATGAACTATGAACAGATTTTTTTCGGTGTAAAACGCCGTTAGCGAGCGCCCACGGGATGCCGGCATGGTGCACGAGGGGGCAGGTGGCCCAACGATGTCTGCGACACCATCGCTGCTGCCCCAGGTACGGTACTCGTATTTGAGGCTGAGTCGACCCAGGAGGAGGCCCAGGACCGGTTCAGATAAATCGTCGCTTGGCGTCGGTGGCCGTCAGCCCTGGGGGGTCGAACTCGGGTCGCCGGGGTCCGGAGCGCAGCGCGCTAACCGCTGCACCGCCGATGGCGCGTGCGGTTGGGGTAAGATGCAGGTGCTCAACACTCGGGCCACAACACACTAGCGTAATAATAACAACTCGTGGACGAGGTGCAGCGACCTCGCGCTGTGAGGGAAGAGACACAATTGCGAGCCCGTGGGTGGCTTTGAGGGTGTGATGTTTGAAGGAGGCGGTTGGGGGTGGGCAGGGTGGAGAGGCGAGATAGGAACAGAATGGATGGTATTAATTTGCACATCACGGCCTCGTGTCAACGGGTGCCAGAGGTGTAACATTGCGTCTTGCACACACACACGCGCGCGCGACACACACACACACACACGCGTCTACGTGCACAAGGACACACGTACACTTATGCACAGAATTGACACGACAACAGATATGTACAAAGATCGCCCGTACAGCCTTCAACAGACTGTTGGGGCAAGTGCTGCTAGCGAGTAGCACCTATGAAGACCAGCACGGGGGTGGGGTGGCCAGCACCACTCTCGGCCGCCTTTGTCTCCTTCGTGTTGATATTTACAGAACGCGACAAGCACTCATTTATCGTTGAGTCAACAACGGTGTTTGGTTTCCCGGCGCTTCGCTCGTTGCTGGCGGACGACCCCCTCCGACTGCCCAGCAGCGTCCTTCACGAGCCTCCTCCACAGAGGCCCATCTTAACACCCCTGGTACCACTCAGCTCCACATTCTCCCGCACCGCATCAGCCCATCTCCTCTCTCATCCGTGGCGTGTCCGTTTAGCCTCATTCATGTGACCAAACATGGCCAGCATGCCCGGGCACGTGGTAGCACCTGATGCTGGTGTTTACACACAGCATCAGGCGCTAATTTAAGGCTGAGTTGACCTAGGGGAGGCCTATAATCGATTCAGATATTCGTCACCGATGTATGACTGAGGGGCAATCGAACGCAGGTCGCTGGGTCGTGCAGTCCGCTAACCATTGCGCCACCGCTCCTCACCACAAAGACAAAGATCCCCCGTGTAGCCTTAACAGACTGTTGGGGCGAGTGCTGTTAGCGAGCACCACCTATGAAGGCCGGCACGGTACACGAGGAGGTGGGTGGCCTGCACCACGCCCGACCACCTTTGTCTCCCCAGTGGCGATGTTTACACACCGTACCAGGTACTCATTTGAGGCTGAGTCGACCTGGGGGGGGGGGGGGGGGGCCCATGACCGGTTCAGATAAACGTCACTGGTGTTGGCCGTGAGCGAAAATCGAACTCGGGTCGCCAGGTTCGCAACGCAGCGCGCCAACCGCTACACCACGCGCCCACTGCTAACCCTTATAAATATCAAACGTCTCACCAAGGATGTAAATTAATACGGTGTTAATTTGAGAGCGTAAAGCTGCACCGTGGGAGACTGGCTACGCTCACTGGGAGGCGCAGAGGTATTCGTGTTGGCGCATGCATCGGTGCAATGGGTGCCACCTCTCGAGCACCTCATTGAGACCCCAACGCGGCAGTTTCAACGGAGAAATATCTCAGAGCCCTGCCAATGCCACCGCTGGACTGAAGCCTCCCCTCCCCTCCTCCCCCCTTTCTCCCCTGGGGGTTGTTTGACCGCGCTTCACCGCGCTGCTTCGGCGCGGAGTGTGCGTGCGGGTCAAGGGGGGCCAGCCAGGGACGGCCGAGTCGTATCGCTCGCCACCGATGACGGCCGTGGCA